TATGTTCTTGGGTGTTCTTATATCATATAGGTGCATGCAGTCAAACAAAAAAATACAGATTAAAGCATTAAACGAACATTACAGAAAAATGCCTGTTCAATGGCAAACATTACAAGTAAAGTACTAAAAAGTCAAATAATATAATTTGCAAACTACAAAACATGTGGAAATACACTTTACATACAAAAAAACCCTCATCCACAATTGATGCACACCTTCCAGAACGACAATGCTAAAGTTCATTACATTGTTTTATTGGTATTGTTGCAAAAGGATAAAAGAGCAAAAATTTAGCAAAAGACAAAAAGAAGAGGTTTTTCTCATATCTACAGCTCAGAATCTAAGGTTTGTCTTGTAACTAGGATCACTATTGCAATAAACAAATCCATTGTTGCTTTTGTTTTGTAACCAGGATCACTACTGCTATAAACAAGTCTACTGTTACTTAGTTCTAAGGTAGAACTATTATATTGTTAAGACTTATGACCAACAGAACTATGACCTGAAAACATGCTGGGGAAGGTCCCTATTTTTGTGTCCTTGAGGTGAACTTAGCTCATTATAATGGGAAAACCACACCTCTATAATTTAAGATACCTACCTCTTCATGAAGCCCCTCACCCTTTAAGTATGCATTCATTAACAGGTAGGTACTGTGACTTTAAATGAGAGAAACAAAACTAGCCAACAGATGATACTGTGATAAAATACTAACTAACAGTTATAGAGGCAGGTGCTCGTGTGTTTAGAATCAAGTAAATATGTTGAGTGTTTGTAACTCAGTGAGCTGGCCACTTTGGATGCCTAGTACCCTTTTCTGCACCGAATTGTAATCAATACAAGTATCTCAACTCTGCGTGTTAATTGGCTCTTTGCATACAGGGTGAAGAATCCCTGGCTCTGGGACAACAGCATGTGTGGAATCTAGGTCTAATGAGTACAAAATTTGATTAGCTTTTTTCCTTAATTTCCTGCTAAAATTTATAGGTCAACAAATCCCTGGTGTCAAAAGCAAAGGATATTTGTGCAGAACTTTTCTGTCTTCACTATTATTATAGTTCAGAAGCATCATAAAATTCTCAGCATAGATTGCATACTCTAGAAAGAAAAGTTCTTCACTAAGCAGCAAAACAGTCATCGCTAACCCTACTAGTCTGGAAAAGTCAAGAGAACACTTGAAAAGCACAACCACTTGAAATAGCTATGTAAAAAGAAAGACTATGCTTCTGTTATTCAGACTAACCAAGAATGGAAAAGGGATATCTAAATAAATCAAAACTATACATTTCTTCATACATACGTACTGGGGAAAAAAATAATTGTGGTATTGACCTTTGGATAAGGAAACTATTTGCTGTGCAGGTGTGTCAGATCACATGTTGGGAAAGAGAAGAGTGCTGCCCTGCATCTGGGGAAGGGGGCTGACACCTTCAGCCATACATGCCCTGAGTACAGCGCAGCAAAGCCGTATCTTCAGTAATCCATCCCCAGGTAACCGAGTCTTGGTGGTATCTTGAGCCTTGATGGTACTTTGAAGATCTAGGACAAAACAACAATCATCAGAAGTTGGTTCGGTTCACACGTTATAAACTAAGAATTTCTTCGGTATTTAAGAGACTTTACGTTAAACACACATTTACCGAAGTAATAATTATGATTTGTAACTGACTCCCTCCTGTCATTCAAACGCGAGCAAAACAATAGCTATCGCACCCCCTTCCAACAAAAGGGGTTATCTACGCACATTAAGCAAGGGAACTGCTTAAACAAGGGCGCACGGACACCGAACGCTTTACCTGGAACGCTTTAACGGCTGCCCAGCGCCGAGTAGCGACACCTGCTCCCAGAAACGCCTGAGCGGAAGCAGAGGTCGGGGGTGTTTCTGTTTCCCAGTTTAAGTCTCCGCAGCCGCCCCCAGCCGCTCGTTGCCCGCCCCCCCTCCCCTCCAGCCCCTCTGGGAGCTCCAGCCCCTCTGCCCGGTCCCGCGGGAACCCGCCGCTCCCTTCAGCCACAGCGGGCCCGAAACAAAAGGAAAGCGGAGAGGAGCCCGGCCTGCTCCGCCGGACACGGGGGGAAGAAAGCCAAAGCCGAAGCCGAAGCCGAAGCCGCTCCCGCTCACCCCGCTCCGCCACCGCCTCAGGCCGCCCCGCCCCCGCGCTTCCGGCCTGGCAGCGGAAGAAGGCGGCAGACTGCTCCCTGTGGGCGGGGCCACCCTCCGCGTGCGGCCGAGCCCCGCCCCTTGGGTGCCTTAAAGGGCCAGTAACGAGAGGAGAGTAGGGGGCGAATGCGAGGGGAAAGTGAGGTACGCGGGGATGGGAGTGGGGGGAGAAGGGGAAGCTGCGCGGTAGCGTAAACCTAAGCGGTGTCGGAGCCCAAGGGAGCACGGCTAACGGCACTGCCTCACGGGTGGAATTACTTAAGTGCTAAAAGAATAAAAACCCCACCCCAAATCCACGATCAGGCCGTGCCCGGGGCGCTCCCCACCACCCTGGGGCGCTCCCCACCACCCTGGGGCGCTAACCCCCCCGGGGCGCTAACCCCCCCGGGGCGAAGCTGCTTCCCCCACACCCCGAACAGGCGGGAGATCGTGGGGCAGCTCAGGCCTGGCCGCGGGTCTGGGGGCTGAAGCCGCCTCTCTCAGGTTTGGGTCCCCGCCTCAGCATCTAGAGACCCCCCAGGGCCCAACCTGGGGGGCTCCGAGGAATCGGCCAGGGAGTATTTGCCTTTCTTCAACTCCTTGCTCAAGACTTTACAGGAGAAGAGGGTGAAAAAGGCAAGTCCCCCTTTCATCTTCAGCTACTGCCACCGTAACACTCCTCAACTTTGAAGTGCTTCTCTGCTGCAAACACAGCTCTTGTAACCCGGCTGTCTCACTCTTTGATAATGGCACACAGCCGAGATTTTTTTTCTGTAACGCCATTCAGGCCATCAACGCACCAGGAAAGTGCTTGAAACGACATACCTGCTTGAATCACCAAAGTTTTTAGCGGACTTGCAGTGCTTTTTAGACTTGAAGGATCTGTCATGCTTTTATTTATAATGCAGCCTGATACACAAAGCTTTGTCAATGTTATTTCCGTCATCATTCGGTGGAGCCTGTTTTTTTGTTTGGGTTTTTTTTTTTTTAAATCCCTTCCTGGAGCTTGCTCTGTTTTCAATATTCAAACACTCACATGAAACCACTGCCTCCCCCACCCTGCTCAGACACAAAGGGGAAAGCTGCCTTCTAATGGCCTCTTAAGTGCCATTTTTCCACAAATGGGAAACGATCAAAAAGTACTCTCCTCCTCCAATTACTTGCTTACATGCAAACAGATCACCAACACGTTAGCCAACAAGCCCTTTCCTTACTCCATTCCCAGAGCTGCAGGAAGGTGGGACAGAGCCTCTCCTGTTTTCTCTCCTGTGGCAGAGGTGAAGTGTGTGTTCTTCCCAAAGTAGCCAGTGTAGTCGTGGCACCAACTTTACAGTTCCTGCCATGGCTTGCTTACATTATTTTGCAGAGACACTGCTTTTAACTGCGTTTCTAAGGAGCAACAGGCCTCAGACCCTGTGATGAACATGTGAGCTGGGGAGTTCCTGGCTCGCATAGAAGGGAGCAAAGGTGTCTCAAAAATATTTTGAAAGGTAGTTTCAAAGCCCAAAAATGCAAGATAACCAAAATACAGCGCAAAAAACAGAGCTAAAATAAAGACATCTTCTCTATACTGACTAGCAGCCAACTGCTTCACACTAAATTTTACCATCAGGATGAGCCCAATTTGAGCTCTCCCTGAGTTGCAGCTGGACTGCACACCTGGCAATGCTCCCCTTGAGCCACGATGCCTCTCTAGGTTTGAGATTCCTTACCTGAGACTGAGAGATCCTTGCCCAAGGTGGAGAGATCCTTTACTCACAACAAATCCTTGGGAAGTGACTGATAGCATGCTGAATACTAATGAAACATTACTAATCCATGTAGCTATTCAGTATTAATTACTATAAACTTGGTATAGATAATTCCATTAGACATAAACCACTGTCCAAGTCCGAGACTAAGATTGGACCTGGCTGCACCCAAGGTCCATCAGGGGGTCCACTCTGAATACCCTTTGCATCTCCAGTCTGTGTGAATCATTCTAACTCTATTCTAGCTCAATTCTCCTTTGTATGTTTCTTCCATGCAGTAACTAATAAGGTGAACCTTGCCATCAAACTTACTGAACCTTAGTAAACCACTGTTAAATTTTGTTAAATTTCATTGAATTTATTGAACTTTGTCAAATTATTATTTTACCTCGAAAAAACATATTGCTGCTTCTCTTTTGAGTGAGGTGCATTCCCCTTATCTGTGAGTTTCCCTTTAAAGCAAAGGATTAAATAAATCTCCTTATAGAGGTAGAAGTTGATTTCTGAGAGATCTAATCTACCAACTCTACAACCACTCAACTGTTTGTGCTCTAGCCTGCAGAGAATTGAGGATGTCCATCTTCCAGGAAATAAAACTTGAAAAGCACAAACTGCTTAGATTCAGAAATTCAAGTTCTTCAGCTTTTAACCTTCAAATCTGTAAGGGAACAGAAGCAAGTCAAAGACCTAAGTGCAAGGGAGCTGGTACATTTTTCCTTCTCCCCCCCACCCCCCCCCCCACCCCATTTCATCTCTTGGCTGGAAAACTTACCCTTATACTGGTGGCTGATCTCATGGGGTGTTCTGCCTGACTCACAAAAATCATTGTTTTCTATCTTCAGAGACACTAAAGCCAGACACAGTTAAATATGGAAAGTTCTCATTTAACATCCTTTGCTATAAGTCATAGTCCAGAAGAACCTCCAACAAGATCTTTATTTCAAGCGATTGAAAGTTCTGCATTTTCAATGACAATTATTAAAGAAGGAAATTCTGTCTTATCAAAATAAGCATCAGAAAGTAGTATGTCAGAGACCAAGTCTTCTTGCATTACTTTCTAGTACAGCATATAAGAATTATAAACAAGCCATACAAACACTTTACACGTACAGTAAGATATATTTTTTTTTATTATTTTTACATTCAGTTGGTCAATTTACAAGTAATCACTCTAGGCACACAGTTAAAAATACCAAAGAAATGAGTACAACCTCCATCTTAATCCCTCAGTTTTCTTATTAAATGTATAAATTCTCCTTGGCAAAATAAAAATATATATATGTATATACACTATTTTGTCTCTCTATTCCAAGTATTAACAAAAGCATACTAAATGCATTGTTTTGGTTAGCATGAAATGACATTACAACTTATGAATAGCAATGGACAAAAATTCCTTTTCTCTAGAGGGGCTGATAAAAGTATAAGTCTACATCAAAAATAAAAATCGGTTGCCTTTAAGAACAAGATACCTGCTAAAAAAAACCCTAAAGACTCAAATTTGTGCTGTTTCCATCAACACAGATGTCTTATGACAGAGATTTAAAAGCAAATTGAAAGCCTTTTCCCAATTCCATTAATTTATTTTTTTTAAAATGTTTGAAGTTCATTAAAGTTCTGAAAACCAAGTTCACACACAAAGGGTAAAAAACAGCTTTCAAGTCCACAGAAGACAAAGCCATGGAAAAAATACTGGGTTTGAGACATTCAGAAAGGAACTTGGACACTTAAATGAAGACTTCTAAAACCAATGTTAAATTAAGGTAATAAAAGGTGGCACAGAAACGGTATTTACCTCATTCTTCAATATGAAACAAGAAAATCAGCTATGCGTATCTTTACTTTTTCCATTATTAGATAGCCTGTGTACCTGCAGTTGTCGATCTGCACCTACTTTCAACCAGATCCATTTTGGAGTTCAATATGCAGACTAGGAATTGCTTTTAGGGCAGTCAGTTAATCACTCTCTTCACTGGAGTCAAAAATGTCACTGAGTTGGAAAGCCTTCTTCTGTTGCGTGGCTGTTGAGTCATCAGAAATAAGGTGCTTCCCCTTCATTTTTTCTAACTTTTCTTCAAGTTCTGGAAGTTTCTCTTCAAAAAGATAATCAATAATTTCTTGGGAAAAAAAAAAAAAAAGAGAAAAAAAAGTAGTCTTAACTGGATCTGTAGGGGAACTGGATGCCTAGGGGAAACAGGATCTCACAGACAAAAATTACTTTGTCTGTTAAATGCAAAAAATCTCAGTATTCTGTAGTCATCACAGTGGCAGCAGGGTAGATACACACATACATACATGCAAAGATAAACTAAGAAAAGCACAGTCATAAAACATTTAAAGCTAAGGTATTAAAAAGAAGAGGTGCCTAAGCATTGCATGAAGATGACATCAAAAGTAAACTGTTATTTTAAAAAAAGCATTTAGGAAAATAAGTATAAGGCCTGAGATTTTAGCCAATTTACTTAGGGGAAAGCTAACAGAAAGAATTGGACTAGAATACGTATCCTCTTAGATTCAAGCAAAAACCTTAAGAAGTATATACAAACAGCTGGGATACTGACCAGGAAAAGTCTTTTTTTGCCAAAAAGGGACACAGGAGACTTTTAGCTTATAAAATTTTGCTTGAACATATGCTCTAGGGACATCTCTGAAAAGAGAAGAGTGGAAAGAATCAGTGGTGCTAGGAACTATTACAAAGTTTAGTTGTTACTGAGTTACCCATTCACGAAAGCGATGCCAGTCAAACAATATCTTAGCTTTAAGTAGGAAGGACAGATTTCAGATCCTACTCTCCTTGAAGGTAAGAACCTAAACCATGCCATCATACATACATATTATGTGTTTAGTGACGATAAATGAAACTGAAAGCATGTGAGGGGAAAAAAAAAACACATACAAATGCTGTAGTAAGTATAGCATTCACAGTATTGGTAATTTCATAGTCAACACTTACTTTGTTTGGAAAACAACTACAATACTGTATTACACAATCCTATAATTATCCCTTTTTCTTATGTGTTGAATAACACCTGGAAAAGTCTTTCATCAAAGACTTTAGCACAGACTACATAACACGGTTCTAGTACGCAGAATGGTTGTCTTAAGTGGTTAAAAGTGTCAGAGCTTACAGGCATGGCTTACTGCTCAGTACTATGCAAGGATATACATTTGCACGTTACCAAACTAACATTTTCTGTAGTTGCAGAGGTCTAAGAACTTTGATTCCTTTGTGGAATTTATAAGACTGACTGCTTCAACAATCCTTTGTATCCATAAAAAGAAGAAAAAAAGCTTTACCCAATAGCATTACTCAGTTCTTCCCAGTTTATTTCATTAGCATCTTCCACTTTCATTTCATACAATCTGTGAATATAATACAGAACCAGTTTGTAGGCAGAATTCAATAAATAATTCAATAATGCTCACAGCTCTCCCAGTCAGAAATCATGGGACATTTTGTCTGAAGAAAAAGTGGTTGGGAAACTGGTATGAAACCACAGGCATGCCATTTTCACCCTGCAAGCTTTCATTAACACAATTCAGAACAGTAAGAGATACAAAAACATTCCAGTACCTCTGAACTATACCTTTTAATAAGATTGATCTTGGCCTGTAATCCTTTGGTCCCCCTATATAACTGCTGCCCTTTGGTCATCTTGTTTGTTAAAATTGTAATCCTTTGAAAACACACAAAAAAAGGTTTCTATCATTTCAAGAAATTCCAAGCATCAAAAGGAAGTGTCTTGAGGATGATGCTGCTGCCACAGAGAAGCAGAAATCAGGCTTCACTATCACAGCAAGAAGAAAACTTACCACAGCTAGCAATGAGTAGTTTGTCTCAAGACACATTTGCAACACCTCTTCTGTAGTCTACAACCTATTTGTTACCTATCTTACCAAACAATCATCATGGTACAGTTTTGCCAAATAGAGTTAAATACTCTCCAGAATGCATTTCACTAACTCAATTTAGTATAAAAGCTTACCATTTCTGTTTACATTGTCTCCAAAATCGAGTTCCCACTTTAGCTTCAATCTCAGTCCATGGTAAGTTCTGGTACAGTTTCTCACGGTCAATCAAGAGATCTCTGTTTGACTTTTCCAATGATGAAAGAGAATTTGCATCTTCCATTTCTGTTCTTTTCCTAATCACCTCCTCCATCGCGTGCATCAACCTCTGGGTCTCTTCCTTTGACCAAGGTCCATAATTGCTAGCTAGAATTGAAAAATAAGGCTAAGGCATAATTTATCATAAATGATTAGGAAAAAAAGGCAAAAGAACAAATGCTTTGCTTGTAAATAACAATAACGCAAAGATGAGCTTCATAACACACTTCCTAGAAATTCTTCTGCATATCAGATTTAAGAGAGGAGTTCAGCCTAATCAGTAACAAACAGCACTGATCCCTAGTTTCTATCTTCTAAAACCTGGTTGCCAAATTCCCCCCACCCTTCTCGTGAAAGCATCTATTTAGATGTCAGTTCCATTTAATAGAGTCACATTTGTTCTACTTCTTTTCCCTTTTCTATTAGAGACTGTTTTTATTTTATCCCTTCCATATGAAAATGCAATCATTGGTCTGGAAAAAAGAACCACCCGCGTAAATCAATAAAAAAAAAAAAAAATCCACCCTAGGGATTTTTTCCTAACATTTAGGGCACATACAACATACAGTTAAAATAAGTTCCCAAATTGCAATACACAGAATTAATTGTTTTTTTCTTAAAATTACATACCCGACTTGATTTCAGAGTATTTCATGGCTACTGAGAGGTTAGAACGGGCCATCATCTCAGAAATCTTCATCCAATCATTGCCATGCATAGCATGATACCGCTTTAATTTTTCTTTTTCTTCCGTAGTATACCTAGTTGAGGAAATTGGCACAGCTTCAGCTGTAAATTCAAACCATTCCAGTATCTTAGAAGAGATATAATCTTTACAGGTGTTTCAGTGTTACTCATCACTATCACTTCAAGTCACACTTTAGAACAGAGGAATTGATAAGGAACAGTGAACTGTCAATTAAGTCACAGTAACTGGCACAAATGGGAGAAATTATCTTAATTTATATCAATTTTTAACATACAAATAAACATCAGTGACTGATATTAACATTTGAAAACTTTTTCAGATTACTCACCTCCCTTTATAATTATTTGGGTCAAACATCTTCCTTGCTCGGTAATATATCAGCCTCCAGGGTCGTGGTATACCCTCAGCTAGAAGGTAAATGATTCATTTTTAAAGAAACATTTCTGACACTGGTGAGGCCACTTTAAAAAAAAGCCAAAATGAAACCAAATCAAAAACCAACAACATACATTTTCATGACTGTGGTGTCAACAATAGATTCTATCCGTTCAAGAGAACATACTCCATAACACTTCAGTAACTGCACAGGAAATAGTCTGAAGAGAATCTCCTGAGGAATTTCGAACATGTAATTGTTACAACCGTGGTAAGACTGTGAATGCTGACAGCTGGTAAATAATTGGGTACATGCCTGCATACGTGTGGGTGAATACTGAAAACTAACTTCTGAACTCTCAAGCACAAACCTACTTCTAGCTACAAGTTGTATGGACTGGCTGCACATTTGATCCAGATGTGATTACAATTTAACTAACATACTGAATACTCCCATTAAGAGAGAGACATGAGACAGCCACCAGTCAGGAGGCTGATGAGATACTGTGCTTCTGCATATAGACTATTTTAATTAGGAAAAGCAGGGACTGGGGGCATCCAACAAAAACAAAGTGAAGATCTTGACTGAACGGAAGATCCTTGGAGCAGGGAAAAGATCCAGAGAGACCAATGCCTGGGAACACAGTCTTAATCAGCAATGCCCAGGAGAGGTGACTGCAAGCAACTTGCATAACACTGACACGACTTTCTCCCCAATTTTCCCAGATCAGGAGCGATTTCTCAGATGGGAAGTGACATCAACACCAGGCAAATATGACGATCAGAGGGAATGATTGTTTATGTGAGATAATCAAGGAGGAACAAGCCTGTAGCCTCATTGATCCTTAAATAAATGCTAGTGTCCAAATCCATTACAGGTTGTCATTTACTGTGTCTTGCCTATGCTAACGATGCAGAACACAGAAGGGAAAACCACTGAGAAAGTGCACTGAGTAGATTCAGAGACATTACAAAATGGGCCTGTTTATCATACGAAGCGTGAACATCTTCGTATGATAAACATACGAAGAAAAGCCAAGAAAAGCCCAACAAAAAGACTAAAGAGGAAGAGAAGAGATGCTCCTCCTGCAAACAGAATCTTAGCCATAAGAATTTTGTTTTCCTCAAGTCTTGGAAAACTAACAATTTTGGCTATCAAGCTAATTTCTTTCAGTTTCTGCCATCACTCAGTCCTAAACCTGCCACCTATGTTCTCTCACTCAGTTCTGAACCCAGCACCTAATTTGTGTGCTCTAAGAACAAGCTGACAATTTCAGACAGAACTTAATCACACCTCCCATTATTAGAGTCACTATGCTTAATTATAGCCTAGCAAATACTGCAGCTTAAGCCATAAAGCCCAAATACAAGTTTTAAAATCTGTAAATGCTGCTGGCCATAATGATATTTTAATCTCTAAACTCTTCACACCCAAGGTAAGAACAACAGTATATTGTACTTATTATCAACTCCATAATCTCAGCAGCACGCTCCTTTTTTGCCAAATTCAGCAACATTAATGCTTTTCAGTAAAAAATTATTTTAGAATACATCATGATATCACCATGCTGTGGAATGTAGCATTCAGCTATTTGAGAAGGAACTTAAATACTTACAAAGTTTTTCACAAAAAAGATGTTCTGCTTTTAGGCGATTGATAGTTCCTTTATCTTCCGGGAATCTTGAGGTAAACAGGACTTTTTCAGCACTGTCTATTCCAGTAATCGATAAGAACTCTTCGATGTTTTTCCGGATTTGATTATTTTCCTTCTGGGAAAATCTACCAAACTTGACAGCGAGACCTAAAATATACAGGAAGTTTTATTTAAAAACAAAAGATAGCAAACCTCAAGTACCATCTCTTGTACATTGCACTTCAGGTGTATAAGGAAAGATCAACAAATTCAAAAGGTGAAAAAAGAAAACTGAGACAAAATAAAAGCTGGGAGCAGGTAATTTACTTATACGCTCTGGACTGTAATTTGACAATGAGAAAGTAGATGTTATGAAACAGAAAAATAGAAAATATGTTCATTGGAATGAAGTGAACCAGACTCCGTGGATGTGACAGACATGGTACAGATATTTTCCCTCTGTCAAAACATTAGCACAGCTGCATATTCCTTCCTCACTGCAACAGTATTTTGGAGAGCTCACCTTGTTTTTTAAACTGTTTAAACCTCGCTAGGTCTCTTCCAGCCATCTTCCTGATTGAATCATCTGATATATTCCTCACATGAGGAATAAACTCTTCCAATTCCTGTTTTGCAGTATCCAAATCCATAGCTGAACACATGGTATAGTCCTGGCACTCTTCATCATCCAGACTAAGCTCATCAGAAGCTGCCATTTCAGTGAAGGAACAATTCTGGCCCTTCTTTCTATTTGATGTCAAGGGTTCTTGTGTCCTGATGTGGGTTTTTTGGTTTGGTTGTTTGTTTTTTTTTTTTTAAAAAAAAAAAAAGCATAAAATAAAATACACCACCAGAGCCCCAAGAGATTTTGATAATATCTCTACCATTAAAAGAATGAACATGTTAATTAATTAAAGAACAAGGAATACTTCATGATCCACCCCCTTGTATTTCCAACCTTTTATCACAGCCATAATTTATTATCAAATTTCTATACTTACAATACTCAAGGAGTTTATTGAAGTTTTGACAATCCACACCCTTCCCACAAAACTCTCACACATAGATATACAGAAGAAATAGTGTCTCTTACTACCACTGACAACACAGAACTTTTTGATCTGCCTCTTCCTAGTGCTCTTATTGTGGGTCCTAGACACCGTAAAAGCACCAATAACTACTTACATGAGCGTTTGTATGCACAGAACGTTAAATTCTTCAGTTGACATTACTAGCTGCTTGGTGAAAATGTATATGTTCTCTATAAATACCAACTTTAACATGTGAAATTCCTTTCTTCCTCCCTTTTTTTTTTTTTTACTAAATATGATATGCTTGCACATAAATTATTTATATATATGCAGTTTTTAAATAGGAGAAAATAGATTCTAAGCTGAAGGCAATAGTGTATTCTTACAAACTTCCATTGTATTTTCACAAGATTATTAAGAGCTTGATAAACTCTTAAAGTAGGTCTCTAACATCTTCAAAAACCTTTACAGTATGTTGAGCTGTTTTTAAAAATACATACAAAACAGACTGCAGAAACATCTATGACCCAAATAATGTAATAGAAACATACTTGGGAGTTGGGGGGAAAAAAAGAAAAAAGAAAAAAAACAACGCTAAACTTACGTTACATCTGATTCTGAAGAGTTTTCTTCCATGATAAAAGCTCGGCTTTTCTTTGCCTTTCTAGCATGCACTGGAGTTTTTCGAGATTGATTAGCTGCTTTAGTCGGTGTAGAAAAATTAGCAGGTACATCCATAGAATCTTCACTCATGGCAGGAGAATCACCTCCATGCCGCCGCTGGGCTGTTGCCTCACCATCCTCTTCTGTAGGTAACGGCAAGCCTGCATCTTCCTTTTGCCCGTTTTGCTCTAGAGATGACAATGACTGCTCAATGGTTACATCAGTGTCTTCTTGCATATGTTGGATACTACTGTCTCTCTTCTTCTTCTTCTTCTTCTTCTTCTTTTTTGGTTTTTTATGGTTTTCAACGTGTGTTTCTGAGGTAGGCAGCTCATGTACCTCATCTTCTTTGGGCAATTTTTTTTTTCTTTTCTTGTTAACAGATTGTTCTAAATAAACGTAATCAGCACTGAGCTCCTGACAATCAGTGCTGTGCTGATTTATTGTAACACAAGTTACATCACTTTGCTTATCTGTACTATCATTATACTTTCGCTTTGTTTTTTTCTTTTCCTTTTGGGAAGCCTCCACTCCAGTTTCATTACTAACTTCATGTTCTAGACGCACAAAAAAATCATCTATTGAAGACACTTGCTTCTTCCCCTTGTTTTTTGATTTTTTCTTCTCTTTACGACCTTCACCACGCTGTGCTGCTTGATCTTCAAACAGCACTGGAGAAGCACGGCTAAGCTCTGCATTTTGTGTACCTTCTCTTTCATCATTTTCATGTTTCTCATTGTATTGTTTGTGTTTTCTCCTCTTCTTCTTCTTCTTGAGAAAATCCTGAACTTGAAAGTCATCTGCACTTGCTTTTCCTGTCATATTTTTTCTTATCTTAAATAAAAGATATAAGTTTTACTCAAGTGCTGTTACAGTTGCACAGTAAAAAAAATTAAAAAAAAAACCCTACCCAAAACATTAAAATACTATGAAACTACTCAATATTATCTCAGAAACATAGAATAAAGATACTTACTTTTCAATCCAACTAATTTTGCAAAGTGACTACAAAAAGGCAACACCTTCTTCATCAAATAGATGTGCATCACAGATGTATTCAGCCTTAAAATTGCCTTCCTATAACAACCAAAAGATACAATAAATAAATATTTATTCAATAAATATCAGCTTTCTGTTGATTTTTAATAACTAGGTAGACTGCTTTCAGCACTGAAACAGCAACAAGCTATAAGTAATAAAGAAATACTAAATGAATCACCATTGAAACCAAGCTCCCCAATTAGACGCTTCTGGCCAGCTTTGCCCATGTTCAAACGGGCCAGGCCCTGCCAGCTCCTGAAAACCAGAGTTACACAGAGCAGGTGAGAAGTATTTTTTAGCACATTTTCAACAGCCTGCACACAGAAAACACAAAACAACATCCTGCCATCTCTGAAACGCAAGACCCTGAATTATCCCCAACAGTTCCCAGCGCTGACCAGTACCGGGTATGAGCTCCTCCCCGGGAAGCAGCTGCCCCGAAACCTCTGGGGCCAAACAAATACCGACCCCCGCCCCCGCGAACAAAGCCAGGCCGCGGGCGCGCCCACCCGGGAGGGGGCCCCGGGACACCCCTTGCGCGGAGGCACGCCCCACGCACCGGCCGGCCCGCCGTTACCCTCCGAGATTACCGAGGGCGAACGAGGCGCCCAGAGCAGTCACGGGCCTCTCGGCGGCACCGGGCGGGGGGGGGGGGGGAAGGCGGGGAAACCGCGGTTCCCTCAGGGATCGCCTTTCCCCCTCCTCCCTCCCTAGCCGGGACAGCGCGTCCCGCCGCCCCCCGCGTGGGGATAACCGTCCCACCCGAGGCCTCCCCGCCGCACCTCCACGCCACGCGTGCTCCAAGCAGCGTCCGCCCATCGCACTGCGTGTCCCCCCCCCGCACCCTGCTACCGGACTCTCCGTTCCCACCTCCCTCCCCCGGCGGAAGCGCTGCCAGCCGGCCCCTCCAAAGCGACGGACCGACGGCGTGGCCGGCGGTTGCTAGGAGACGCGGCGCCGCCACCGCTCCCGCCCTCCTTCCCTCCACGCTCACGGGTGGGAGCTGCAGTTCCACAGCGAGACACCCCCCACACACCCCCCCCCCCACCGCGGCGTGCCGCGACATGGCGGCCTGCGGAGCGGCACCCCCGCGGCGGCCGCTCAGCCTGGCCGAGGTGGAGCCGGGCAGCGAGAACGAGCGGCTGGGGGTGGCCCGGGACAGCATGTTGCGCAACCCGCTCATCCTCAAGGTGAGCCCTGGCACACCCACGGTCCCTGCCCTCCGTCCCCGCTCCTTCCCCGGGCACCCCACACCCCCCCCCATCCTACCGCCGGTAGCGGCCAACGGGACCCCGGGAGGGTCTGGGGGGGGGGGGGGGGGGGGGACACGGACGGTCCCCGGGGGCAGCCCTAGGCCACCGCTGCCACACAGAGGAAGTTTCCCATTAAAGCACCCAAAGGGTGACAACAGTTGAAAATAGCCCCCCCCCCCAGTTACTTATATGAAAAGGATGGAAAAAGTGTGTTTTCTCACTGCTCCTTCGTGTTTTATGCCCGTTAAACACCTTGTAGTCCCGGGATGGTGATGGGCAGCAGCGCAGGATGCGTTTTCCCTCTGAGGCTCAGGTGCTTTTTGAAGCAATAGCCCCAAGGTTTGAGCAGCTCTCGGGGACAGGGATCGCGAGGGGTCCTAGGGGTGGGGGATACACAAACTTTAACTGCCAGAATTAGGATTTTTAAACTGGCTGAGGAGGTTATGGTCACTTCAGAAACTCCTGACACTCCTCACCTTACCAATTCCACTTGCAACCCCGTCCCGTGGCCAGGCTGAGCTCTGGGTGGGCTCTGGAAAGTTTCAGGCATCTCACTTCGCTTGCCTCCACCTAATGAAGATCCACAGCCCCAGAAAGTCACGCGTTAACCCGCCCCGCACCTTCCCTGGAGCCGTGTGTGTCGTCCCCCCCCAAGCCCCGCCGGCAGCTGAAGTACAGCTCTCGTCCCCTGGATGGCACTCGCAGAATAGCTTCGTGCCATCACCAGTTCTTTCCGATCCCGGTCCCCATCCGGGACACGCCGCCGGTACTGACCACCCCTCTCCCCAGAGCTTGGGGGGGGAGGGAGGGGAGGGGACCGGAGCGTTGCTCGGAGGGTGCAGAGGGAGAGAGAAGGGCGGCTGCACCCCCCGCCACCCCCCACAGCGGGCACCGGGCCGTTTGACCGGCTGCACTTTTCCTCTTCTCCTGCCGAGGGCAGCCAGCCCTGCTCAGAAGCGGTGGGTTTTCCCCGGCGGTGACATTTAAACCGCGGCTGCTCAGCGCTCGCGTTCCCTCGGTGATCGCACCCCGGCAGCGGCAGGCTTGGAAGTCGGCCATCAAATTTTGGAATCTGGAATATCACAGAAAATTTCAGTCTTGCAACACAGAACTTCCCCCTCCCCCCCCCCTCCAAAATGAAACTCTAAAAATCGATTTGGAAATTATATTAGGAAGGCAAAGAAAAAAAAAAAATGTAGGTTTTACATCATAACTCAAAACCAGCTTCACTTTTTCAAATCCAAAACTTCTACCTTCTCTCTTTTCTCTGGGTCCTGTAAGTTTGGTAGGAAGTGACGGTATCTTTGCTTAAAAGTGGAATCAGGGTGACATTTCGTCACCTAGCTACCCCCCAGAAAGAGCTGGTGTGGATGGGTGGAGGAGTCTTCACTGCTGGGAGGGAAAGGAGGCAGCCCTCCATCTCCCCCCTCCTTCCAAACTATTCCTTTCTTAAAAATGTGTTTACTAGCACACTTTTCTACGTGTTGCACGAATATGAATCAGAATAATATGTAATTATATGGTACTTAGGTACGATAAGGCATAATTGCAGGGGTTGGGTTGGTCCTACTTACTTTCACAATGCATTTATATTCCTTACATTTAAATAGGTATAAACCACCCGTCAGCACCATAAATCCCAGGTCTATGAATATAACACCGGGGTGATCCTACAAAGGGTGATTCCTCTCCTGTAATGTGTATGTTGCAGGTAGATTATACATGGTCATTAAGATTATGCTGATTTATGTGAGAGTTTTGCCTGTCTGCATGGGAGCATTCGGCTGAGCACTGCCTGTCCCTAGAGCTCAGTTGATATCTTCTCCCCTTGGGTCCAGCAGTTTGCTCAGCCCCAGCTTTAGGGCTTGAGTTTTTTTTCAGCATAACTGTTTCAGAGCATCCTGGCAGTGGGAATTCTAAGCAGTTACAAATCATGGGATGATTTGATAAGATCCAATCTGGATTTCTGGACAGGTGAAACTAAAATTTGAGCAAGTTTTGAGAAAAAGTGTTAAATTTTACAATTCTGGACAATTTCTATTCTGTCAGGGCTTCCTGGCAGGAGGGTTTCCTTCACCATAAACCAACTGGTAGGGATGTAAAAGGGATCTGCATCCACCTGATGCGATCCTTTTAGAATGAAGTAACTGCGTTATTAACAGAGATGCTTTTACTCTTGGAACCAGCAGTAATTTTACCTCATGGTAAATTATATTGTAAAGTTGGTACAGCAAACTGCTGACACCCTACCAACTGCCTTCCCACATTGCTTCATGCCCCACTGAATGCTGAGTTTACCAGGGTGTCCTCAGCTGCCAGGAGGTGACAGTAACAGGATGGCAGTTTACTGGATAAGCGCTGGCACTCGGCCAGTCCTGCTTGCTGGTGCACACATCGGTAGTGGCAAACTCAGAGCGTCAGCCCTCTGCCACGTCTCCTCTTCATGCTTCCAACTGCAGCCTGGGATCTCTTCCCCCTCTGGGAGAGCCCTGGGGACCAGGCATTTTGGAGAGAGCTGCCAAAGGGGATGATCAGCAAGTCCCAACCCTCATGCTCTGCAGTGCCACCTGAAAAGCAAGGACACAAGGATGGTTTAGAAGAAGGGGATAAAAGGTTTTGAGACAACTGCTGCTTGGACAAGTGCTTCGGGCAGCCCTGGGAGAGCACTCAGGAATGCACAGCTCCTACAGCTGTCATTAAGGTTCACCCGGCAGCAACTACACAAGGACCTGAGGCCCAGAAGTAATGGATGGGACACTTAGTCCCTGATCTCCCTCCAACTAGCCCTCAGTCCCCAAAACCCTAGTGCAGGTGTGACAGACCTCCTATTATATAGCACATACATATCTCCTATCATATAGCATATATAGCAGCAGCTAACAACAGGATCCCCTACTTTCTCTCCCAGTTCTCTCAACATATCTTCTAAATGAGGTATCACATATCCAAACAGAGACCACTGCCCAGGCTGACTGACCCTCCTGCCTCAGCTCTGCCCAACCCCATCCTCTCCCCGTGATGTGTCCACACATACTGGTTATTGCAGATTAAAAACATGATCTTCTCTTTTCGTAGAAAGACTTCTAGGGATCAATGCTGTTTTTCTCTGGTAGAATGCATGATGTGTTTTAATTAATCAACACATTAATTTAGTTTATCAATATGTATTTGCTTGCAGCATAAAACTGAGGAAAGTATTTCATCTATTGATGCCAGTAAAAATCTGAGCAAAGCATTTTTGGTTTGTTTGTTTTTACCAGTAAAAGCCTTAGCCAAGCACTTTTCTCAGTACAAACTTACTGAAAACTACTGCTACAAAAATAAGCGAGCTCTGGGCAGGAAACAAGACTTCTCTACACTTAACCCTAAGCATGCATGACAGACATTCCAGAAAAAGTGGACCACACCAGATTGGTTATGTTTATATTAACATTTTCTAGATAATATGACATAATTAAGTTCAACATATTGCTGCCAGAGTCACTGTTGTCACCAGCCTGGAGCTGGGCATATTCCTGGTGTGCAAAGGTAAATGGGAAAGGTGCCAAAGCATCCTCTTACCTGTTAAAGTGCAGCCAGGGGACATGTGAAAATCGGGGAACTGGTCTCCATGAAACACCTTCAGAGCAGAGAGGCATCCAGCTCGCCTTCAGAGCCCCAACCACAGCTCTCAGCATTAAAAAGTTGTTTCAGAACTGGCAGTTCTGAGGAGGAGGATGGTAATGATGCTTTGCTGGCCAGGAAAGGCTGCTGCCAGGTCTCAATCCAACTCTGCTGGAGAACCAGATTTAACAAACAGAAGTTTTCAGCACTGCTGGAATGTGCAATATTTGTTTTAAAAGATTGTTATTTACATGACAACTGTTACCAGGCTCTTTTTATTGGTCTGAATGCCAGGCCATTTAGAGTTCATTTTACTAAGGTTTTGTCTCCAGCCCTGAGGGCTGGAATTGTTTCTTTTTTCCAAGTAAGACTGAACAAAAACTACAGGGCTCAGGCAATAAAATTTCAGAAGCTACAGTCGACAGAAGAAGCATATATGATAAAAAAATCTCACAAAACCACAGGAATTGGCACACTGGTAGCTTTGGTTTTGGCAATCCCAGCAGAGGAAGGATTAGCTTGGCCAGGGAGGCTGAATGGCCCTTTTTAGTGGAGGAAGGGGACACACGGGAGAGTTTGCCCCATGCCCAGGGAGAGCAGCTCGCTGTGGGTGACAGCGGGGCACCAGCCGGGTGGCCGTGGGACTCCACTCACTACATGGGTACCAAGTGAAGGCAGAAATCAGTCCCCGCATTTTTTTTTTTTCCCTTTCATGCCTATTAAAACTTATAATGAAGTATTACTGAGCTGTCTGACTTGTCACAGAGCAAGGTGCTGCTGAGAGTTGTTGCAAACTCATTTTGGTTTCTGGAATGATCCATAGGAAGGACAGCTAAGAAAAGCAAGTAGAGGTATTTTATCAAACTAAAATTGTGTCACATCATGAAAAAAAAAAAAAAAAGTTCTAATTATGCATGAGACAAACGTGGACAAATGCATGGTGTGAAAAAGAATATTACAACTTTGAGTTGTAAACTACATGCTTCACAAACATCTCTTGCAAGAGGAATTACTGAAAGGGCAAGTTTTCCATCATGCAGGAGTTGAAGCTATTATTAATAGACCTGCACTGTGTCTGTAACAGGGCTTTTACATCTGAATGTCGTGCTCAATTTTTGAGCCTTTAACCTTCACCTTCCCTCTTTTTTTTTTTAAACCTTTTCTCCAAATCTACTCATCTTCTTTAGCTCTCCCTGCACCAGCATAGCGAGGAGCCAAGGTGAACCTGGAGCAGTGCTCCCATCTCACCAAGCCCTTTCTCAGGACAGAGCCAGGACGCACCACTCACCTTTGCAATCCTCATCCACCTTTGTGCAAGTACTGCTAACCCACGCAGGAAGGGAAGGTCATAAAATAAAGGCTTCCTTAGGAATGCACCCATCACTGGATACTCAGGGAGCAGCTGTGCAAGCCGTCAGACACCGTGCAGGTGTAGGGTCTGTGTGACGACTGGGACTGACAGAGAGCAAAATCATTCCCCCTGCACAGAGCACCTACGCCCCGAGCGTGCCGAGGCAGCGCAGGTCCCTGCGGTCTCCGTCGTCTCTGCAGCTCACCTCTGCTCCCCCCGTGTGATCCGGGGGTTCAGCCACTGCCAAGACCTCGCAGCTGCCCCCATGTTGACCCCAGATGTAGCAACTGCTGCTGACAGCACCACAGCCCTGTGACACAGCTTTGGGTAACTTCCCTCACGTGTTAGCTTTGTTGATTTAAATAGCTCTGTTCCCTCTCCTAATAAACACCCTCAGCTGTTAGGAATCAATGCATCTATTGAAAACTTGGTCAGGGACCAGATTTTAGTCTGTCTGTCTCAGATGAATAACCCTGTAACACAGAGCAGAGTAGCCACAAGTACTGTGAACCATATTTGGAATAAGGTCATCTTTTATTTTGTGTTAATTATACTATTTACCTCAAATCACTACATGTGCCGAGCATCCCGCCTTCTGTGCTTGCTGCTTGGGGATGCTGAGAATTAATTAGTGTTTATGCAGCATTTTGTGAGCTTATTACTATTATTATTATATCACTACTACTATTATATTTTTGCAATCTAAGGCCAGGGTTGTGCTTTTAAAAATGTATTCTGAAATGTCTACACAGTACAGCTCAATAATTCATTAGAGAAATAAACTAATGAGGGGCTGGTTAGTCAAATAATCATTAGGTTTGGTTCTGAGCTTTGTTTTGCCAATGCTCAGACTTCTAAGGGTTTTCTTCTCAGCATGAACTCATTTAAGATTTTAAATGAATTATTTGGTACACTAAAAATTAAACTGCTTATGAGCTCTAGTGCCCTCCCATATTTTGCACAAACACCACTGAAATAAATAAGGCATTTCCAACTGGCAAGTAAACATTCTGCATGAATGAAAGTAGTGGGTTTTTCTCCTGCTTATTTAAAGACAGGACTTAGGCTACAAACTGCCAGCTGTGATTCAGTGGGCAGAGGGATGGCACCAGCAGCACCGGGCATTCGTAGCTGCTCACCACCAAGATCGGCATGCAGTATGTAAAAGCAAGCAAAAGGGCATTTTGATCCTTTATGTGAACAAAACAATGCAAATTGGTGGGACTAATAAGCCCAGAAACGTTACAAGGTGAATGCCTTTTATGTTCGTGAAAATCTTCTATGTTTATTTGTCTAATACAATGGAAATAAAGCTTCAAAGGCCCTTTGATTTAAAAGTGCATTATTGAAGTCAGCCAGCACAATAATAACCATTAGACCGAATTGCTGCATTATGACCCTAATAGCAGCGTTGTCATAACAGAGAACATCTGTACAGCCTCTTGCCTGAGTTGTTGGTGATATAAAAGCAGAAATTAAGCCAAAGGACGAGAGAATGTAGGCAGAATAGAAAAAAAAATAAAATGAAAAAAAGGTCACAAACGGGTCCATGCACTCACAGTGAATCCAAAGCTGCAGCAGCCTATAAATTTTTATGATGAACCTAAAACTCAGGCTTTATTGTCTGAAAGATTTAAGAAACTTTGAGGGAGAGACAACACCAGTTTATGACATTGGCCCCAAACCACGTTAAACCAAAAGATGATTTTCAGACTAATTCAAATCGAAGACACCGTGCAGAAAGTCAGGGATGTTCCAAACCCTGATAACATGCCCTCACCCACGAACCCTTCTCTGCAGACACTGAACCCAGCAGGCTGAGAGCAGCACTAGAGACCCAGCTAAAACTTGTAAGAGCACAGGAATATCTCTGCCCTATTTCCTCTCCATACTCAGCTTCCCACTCCACCAACAATAACTATCCCTCCTTCTCTGGAAAAGGCACAAGAAAACGTCCTGAGTGTATAGGAGAAGCTGTTGGGGGCTCAGTAAGGACCGTCCTGGACAGGAGGGCACTGGGCAGGCAACTGGAGGGCAACTGCCCAAAGAAAAGGCAAAAATCTATTAATTTTAGATCTTTGCCACAAACATTTCCCCTCTTTTTGAGTACTGCCTAGCAGAATACAGAGCAAAGGAAGCACGTTCATTGCAATCACAAGGACCAACGTTTTCAGTTCTGCATTTTTGCAAGTTTTTAGCCACACTTTCCCCAAGGGCAGATTGCTTTCCATACAAATTCTTAGAGATGCTCTTATGCTTAATTATTGAATTTGAGAAACCTTTGTCATCTTGCAGGGATTGTTTTGTTCTTGCTTGGCTGCTCACATTGTACAGATTAGACAGAGCCTGCATTTTGAGGATATTTTCTTTTTTAACCATTAGTACTTTGTAAAATAAATTGCACTGACTTTTCTACTCACATTTATTTGAACTAGTATAGATAAAGGGAAGCGGGACCCTATTACTAGTTTTCCAGCAGCAGCCTTTAAGAAAACTTCAATATCAGGGGAAATATCTCTAGTTTGATTTTTTTAAGCAAACCAATATGCTTTTTTATGCCTGAAAATCTTACAATTGAAACCTGATTAAAAATAATAGTGTAATTTCCAGGTGGGGGGAGTGGAGGGAAATCAGAAAAGCAAAGACAGCAAACCTTGTATTGCTCAGTGAAGAGCAAACTAGCCTGAAAAAGAAAGGTGGATTTAATCGCGAGCTTCGGGCTGCTCGCCCAGGTAGAAGAGCCCCTTTGTTTGCAGCACGCTTTTCAACTTCCCAACATCCCTTTACATTTGCTCTCTCCGATCACCCTCCTCCTCCTCGCTGCCCAGCCTCTTCGGTGGCTCCCAGGAGATACCAATCAGCTGGTCAGGAGGCGACTGTAACTACACTAATCACCATGTATTACGGTGTGTTAAAGCTCTAATACACGCCGAAATGCAAGTTTCCCCGCACCAGCGCGGCTGCATCCTTCGCCGCGCGCTGCCCCTCTCCTCCCTCTCCGCAGTGCCATGGTGAGGGGCTGCCGTGCTACCTCTGCCTCCATAATCAGGGAGCTAAAATTGTTATCAGATTAGCCCCAGCAATGAAAAGCACAGTCCCAGATCACACTCGCAGTTAGTTAGCATTTAGATAGGCTGGGACGGGGGTCTGTACAATAGGCATCAAAGCTGAACTCTTGGTGCAGTGAGAGGGATTAATTTCTTTAACCAACATGCCTGATCTGGCCTATCTCATTACCCTGCCTTGTCAGTGTCGATGTTAGATTTGATTGAAGATTATACCATTTAGGCCTTTCCCCTGTTTTCCACAGAAATCAGGCCTATTGAATTGCACATTCTTCCATGGGCCCCTGTCAATACTCAGTGGCCTGAGCCTCTAATTCTGCTTCATTTAAACTTCATCAACTTTTCCAATCAAGTGGAAGGATCTGAAATAGGCTCCGTAAGCAGAAAGGCCCTTTTTCCTTTTGTCAGATAATTTATTCTGTTTTCTCTTTCTCTCCCCCTTGCTTCCCCACCTCTTTCTCTTTTTCTTCTTTTCGCTCCTTTTCCCTGATGCTGAAAATGAGATTACAGTATTTAAATGACTATGATAATCAATCGGGGGACCTTGAGCCGAGATTGAGGTTAATTTTTCTTAGCAGAACAAAGAAGCGTGATGCCATTGGGGATTTGAAGGTGCAATCTGTGTTTCATGC